TTCAAAATTAAATTTTTTATATTTGATTTTAAACGGGTTTGGATGCAGAATTTTAAAGTCATTAGGAATTTGATTGTAAAGCCGGTAAATGTTGTATGAGAAAGATCTACAAAAAAGAGGAGCTTGATGAGGAGGAGGTGATATGTAGCTCCGAAACCGCAGATTTCAGTTATGAACATCGGTGCGAAAAGTTATTCTATCGAATAAATATGGTGGTTGCTTAAAAAACATAATTTTCCGAAAAAGATTACATACATGCAACTCACATGCAACTTATGTGAAACTCTTTCAAACTAACAAATAGCATAAATAAATCGTAGGCAGGACTTCTGTACACGTTCAATTCTATCCATGTCAATCTTGTCTAAGCAAAACCCATAAAGGCTGTTACAAAAATTAAAATGGCTGAGTACTACTACTTCACAATGCAATATTTTAAGTTTAACAGGGACGACATATCGATGAGCATATAGAACTTTTAGAGTAGCATAAGCTTTCTATATGCATTTATTAATATGAGGCTTAAATCTTAGATATAAGTCAACATCTTCTACCAAATTTCTCACAGTGGCAGAAAAGACATGAAAAGTGGGCTCAATAATGTCTTTCAATCTGCCAAATAACATGAGTTGTGATTTGATTGCATTAATCTGTAGACCATGATTTTCCGAAAATAGAACTAATCTTTCAATATCTCGCTCAATAATGGCCAATACATCACATTTCTCGTTAGGATTGAAAGAAAAATAAAGCTGAGTATTGTCAGCATACAAATGTACCTGACAACTTCGGAGACAATGGAAAAGGTTTGAGGTATGAACACTAAAAATCAGAGGTCCCAATATAGAGCCTTGTAGAATACCCGAGGGGATGACATCTTTGGAGGACATACGTTTACCTGTTTCTACATATTGTGTTCTGTTAGTTAAATAGTGGCACATAAGCGTGCTAGCAAATTTGGAAAACCCTATATAGTGTAAAATACCAGACAGGATTTCGTGATTTAGCTTATCAAATGCCTTGGAGTAGTCCAAGAGCACGAGAGCGGTGATTTTTCTGGAATCTGTTGCTTTGAAGATGTCGTCAGTTATATTTAACAGTGCAGGTTCGCAGCTGGATCCTTTCCTAAATCCCGATTGATGGTCTGGTAACAAATTGTTTTCAGTTAAATAATCTCTTATTTGTTGGTCCAATATAATCTCCATTAGTTTTGATAGCACTGGTAAAATACTTATGGGGCGAAGATCATTGTAGTCGTTAATATCAGACTTCTTTGATATTGGTATAGTTTTGGCAATTTTCCATGAGTCTGGAAATTCTCTATCTAAAATACAGGAGTTTATTACATTTGTAATGTAGGGGAGATTTTATGGGAATACAATAAGATCATTTCAAGATTTAGACCATCAACACCTATGGCAAGCGATTTAATTCTGAGAAGTGCATTTTTAATGACATAATGAGAAACTGTGTGAAATTCAAAAAGAGTGTTGATGTTAGTACGCCTATTGCTATAATAGTAATCCAAAGTGTCATAGTCTATTGATGAGCTTGCTCGAGAGATCTGAAGAACATGGTTATTCATGTCATCCGGATTATTCAGCTGATCGGGAATACAACCTGTTTTTGTGTTGCTAATATTTGAATTTAATAATTTTTTCCAAAGCACTTCAGTTTGATTGATATTTTTATCAATACATTATTGCAAATAACTTTTATTTTCATTCTATATGGCAATGCTCGTTTGATTTTTCATTTGTTTATCATTTTCCCAATTGGCAGCAGTTTTGTTTTTCTTAAATTTCCGGAATTTGGTATAATCATGCGCTTATTAGAAAACGTTAACCATGGGGAGTTTTCGAACTTTAAATTGAATTTCCTTTACATCGAAGATATTGAATAGTACTTCATTCAAAAATAAGACCTTTTCCTCACCTTTTGGTAAATAGATCAATTGTTCGAAAAGAGAAATTTCCAAAAACTCATTGAGCAAGTCTTTATCTAGATCTAGAAAATAATTATTATATTAAAAAATTCTTAAATTCACGTGACGTCGGTTCACTCTCAGATACTCTTGGCCACTCCTCCAGTACGAGCTTAAGTCGCTCTTAGTTCTACTCAGGATCATTCGTATTTGAGAATACTTTTGCATGAAAATAGTTTGTTTGCCTTGGGTATCGGCTTATTCGTTACCAATACAGAACATCACTATCATAGCTCTCTGGGTTTCTGCATTTCTACATTAAATGAGCTATCCCTCAAGGGATCGTTTTCTACTAAGAAAGTGAAATTGGAAAAATGAACTTCGGTTAGTTCTGTATAAGAGTGATGAAGTCGTTGTCGATTTGAGAACATAAAACACGACCATTAAATTTATTTCCTAGAAATTCCATTTTATTTTTCACGATCTCCATGTCTACTATGGAGAATATCTCCTTAACCATGTGATAACAAACTATTTTTTCAGGTCGAGTAACCTCTTAAGTCTGCTGCTGAGGACAACTCAACATCGAACTTCATTCCACGTTTGCCAACTTGGTGAACAATACAGAAGCTTGACTTGTTGTTCATAACAGTCACCTTTGTCTACGTTCGGCTCTTCACACTTTTGTGAAATCATTACTTGGTTTCCTTCAAGTAACATCCAATTTTTTGTTCACTTTTTTCTTCTTCAACTTCAAGTGGAATGATGTCTCCTTGCGATCGCTGCAGACTAATGTTTCTTATAACTTTTGTAATATTTCCAGTAATTTTTGTACTAGCAGTCTCTGTCTATTTCTCGATATACATGTTAATGAAGCAACTCTAAAATACTTAAAAATGCCTGTTTAACTATAACCACATATTGAAGAGCGTGATCTCTTTTTATTATTTTCATAATGTCTCAAGACGATAACTTTAAGTAAAATAAATTTATAGAAGAGATCAGTTTCTATTAAACTTCCATCACCGACATAAACATTGAAGCAGATAATCATGTTTAAATTCATCACCTCGAAAAATAATAGTTATTGACAATTCAAATAAAGTGACAGAAAGCCTACATTTTGAAAGTTTAGGAGGTGAGGGAAATACTTGAGGGATAATGTGGAATAAATTATTTTATTATATACCTTAGAAACCCCAAAACATTCGCACACTCAGTAAAATTTGCATATTTAGAGTGATTCTGTGTACGCTTCTTTTTAGGATCTTGTCTTCCCGCGGGCAAATTTGCTAACATCCGCTCTTCAAATAGTTTTTTCAACACTGTATTCGGGAAAGTTCGTACACATTACCTCTCAAAAATTTTGCTTGCGTCCAAAAGAAGTCACGCTCTTCAATGCATACATTTAATATAAAAATATTGCATATCTTGTTATTCTAAAATCGGTGGCTTATTTTTATCTCTACATTTAAATATCTCAAGGTAGTTTAAGATCCGCCAAACACTGGAAAACACGTCAGAAAAATAGCTTGAACCTTGTCCTTGGAGCCGAAAAAAAATTTATTTCAGATAATTTTAAAACGTATACTCCTTTTTAGGGTATAAGATTATTTCCAAACCATTTTGATAAAATGTATATATGTCAATATAATACGCGGCCTTGCGATTATTTTGACAGTTTAATCCCCCCCTTAAAGACAGGTGCATAAATGTCTCTTAAATGACACATTAGATAACCTGTATTAGAACTTCAACCTCAAGGTCAAGGTTAAAGTTAACAAAGGTACATTTCAATGATGTAATAATGTGAAGATTAAAAATGGTCACCGCGAATACTATATCTATTAGGTGTAAGTCCTTTGATTTAAGTGTATAGAGCTTTCCAGAAAGGTTTCCCCTATTTCTCTTTTGGACTGGTCAAGTTGACAAGCGGAAATTCGAGAGGTTGAAATTGACGCACAAATACTAAATTTCAAAGTAAGAATAACAGCTGAAAAATTCAAGATGGCGAACTGGCAGGCTGTCAAAGTTGGGCGTTTTGTATACGGAATCGCCTATAATTCAACAAAAAATCATCAGAACGTTATAATACTTTACGTCAATCATTTTCTTTTTAAAACACCTATCTTAATTTTCAATAATCCGTGCAGTATACATGATGTCTCAAATGGCTATGATGCAGGAACTAACACTCTTATTTGGAGAAATGTGTATGAGTGTATTTATATTTGCAAATAAAACTGTTATATTATGAATCATGGCTTTGGGATACCAAATACTGTGGGTAGCTACGTCAAAGAACCTGTGATTTCTGATAAAGTGTTAAGACTCAGATTTTATTTTGAAAGCATTTCATTATTTAGTATTAAGTCTTAGTTTTTTAAACTATATTAATCTTCTATCATACTATTCTACTATATTTATTATTGGGGAACAAATACGACTTACAGTTATGAAGATCTAAAGAGTAAGGGTGAAACAACAACAAAAATATACCCGCATATAAAGACTATGATATGGCATAGCTAGTTACTATAAAATTAAAATATAATATTTAGCATAATGTTTTTAAATAGTATGTACTGGTTATTAGTGAAGTATTTTTTCGTGCTTATGTTAGTTTAGGATAAATATTCATGAAATAATTGATTTTAAATAGCCAGTACCGTTTTTTATATAAACTTGACTTGAATTTTGGATGTTTTAGTTAATGATGTTTCCAAACACGATTTTTTCTATACTGGCGTAAATTTAAAATCAGTTAAGTCAAAAACGTCAAGTATTATTACCGTTAGACTTAGTATCTTAGTATTAATATAAATTTGATAGTTACTTAGAAGTATATTTTCATCTAAATTTGATCTGGTTTATTTTTGGAAAAATTGATTCTAACGATCTGATGATTTAATTATTTTAGCTGAACTGTTGATGTTCTGTTATATGATATTTTCAAAAATAAGTATTTTCCATAAATGAACCAGTTCAGAATTATAAAGTACTATAATTAATAGAATTAAGGGTTTAGTATTTTGATACCAATTTTATTTCAGTAGGTATATCATAGATTATCTCAATGTTGGTATGTATTCGGTATGTTATAATTTCGGAAGAATAGGATAAGATGTTTAAAACAAAGTTTGCGTATACCTGCAAGTGGTGAGACAAACACATGTGTTAACACTGTCAACAATTTTGTTCATCAATAAGTGTTTGAAGCTCTTATTGCAAATTTCCAGCTTTCAGTGGTAAACAAAGTTGGATGTGGGAAATTATCCTATTCATCAATCATACCAAACAGTATCAGCATTGAAAGGGTGTTTGCAGGGTTTCTTTCAGTATATCATATATGTTCATAGCTTTTTCTTTAAAATCTAATAAAATGACTGTATAGTCTGACGTTTGTTTCATTTTTATTTCCTTTTGTCTATTTGTCAACAGACTTTTTTGATATCATGGCGCATGCAACATTATAGCGCATCCAACATGTTTTCAAATTAGTCGAGTAATAGCTATTCCTTAAAAAATAAAATGGAAATGAGTGAGGGCATTTTATAACAATAGATTAACAGGAATTCGTAAGCCGATTGCTCTTGTCGCCATTTTCGTGAAAAGAATGATTATTGATAATACATTATCATTATGGCTATACACCGGGAAAGTATGCAAGCATGCATCGTCAATAAATATTTATAGCAAGTGTCCGTTAAGATTAGAAAAAAATATATTCGAGTCTAAATAACACATGATTCATAATTACCAAACAGATGAAGAATGCGCTTATTCCGATAATTTTGCACGGCAAATGCTTTTGACATAAATTCTTTTGCTTCTCATTGATAATAGATATGAAATATTATTTCCCACTTTTAACATCGACGCAGCCCTGCAGGAAGAAGCCTAATTGGCAGGGCGCCGTTTTGAAACAAAAAATATAAAATAATAAAAAAATTGAGAACATATTTTCTTAGTTTATAGCGTATTCGACCTGAAGATATCCGATCGTATACTGCATTTCGGCGTCCAAAGCATTATCCGAAATGAGATTAGATTCCCTAGCGTAAATGTGTCACATCTGTGATTCTCCCCTTCTCAATAATTGAAAATCTACTTTGAAAAGGTTAGACTACAGGGTGGGCCACATAAGCGTATGCGGAGGACAGCAGCTAAACCTTTACAGTCGGAGAAAACGGTTTCATACAAGATTTGTCTGAAATTACGAGTTCTCCAACTCTAATAGCAACTGACATTTGGCAGTAGAACCGTAATCAGCTGAAGATCCTACATTAGCATCAATTTTCATACGTGAATCAGGGCTAGGCAAATCAGTAGGTCAAACTGTAACGTCTGATAATACAATGCGCTTCAAAAAAAAAGGGATTGAACAAAAGCTCCAAAACACGAAAAAGGTAATTGATATGACCTAGACCTTAGACGTCGTTTGATATGATGAATTATTTGATAGCATCTAGGTCTAGGATCTAGGTGCATCAATAACAATCCTCCACTGCGACTCTCTGGTATATTGTGACTCACACCTATTTATATTTCCCCCATTAGCTCCGACCTCCTGAGGAAGTCGATCAACTTGTTTGGAGAAATATCCTTCAGGTCTTCTGATTGGAGTACTACGTCTCTAAGTATGTTGTACCTGATTCTGGCGATTGTAGGGCATCTGCACAATACATGCTTACTGTTTCATCTCCCACCATGTACAGTCTGCAATGACCAGTGTACAGTCCTACTAGAGCTTTGATGCTATTCCTCTTCAGCTGTACCAAAGAGTCTGTGTCCTTCTTTGTCAAGATGGGTTAACCCTGCTAATCCCTCCCAGTAGTAATGGATCTTTCTGTCCATCTCTGCAGAGATTATTTGTTTAGCCGTATTGTATGCGGTCCCAATCGCTGGCTCAGGCCCTATGAAGGGTGTGCTAGCCACACTCTTTGACATAGTGTCAGCTGTGTCATTTGTCTTGTTATCCATATGAGACGGACTTCATTTCCCTCCCCTATGCCACCGAGAACTTCATTGCAATTCCACACTAGTTTCGATGTCGAGTAGGTGGATTCAAGTGCTTTAAGTGCGACTTGACTATCTGAAAAAATAATAGTTCTGTGCCTCAGTTGTGGTTCTGCGATGATTCTGGCACCGAGTTCTATAGCATATAGCTCTTCCTGGAAAATCGACGTCCAGGTTCCTAGGTTAACAGATTTTTTAATCTTTAGCTTCGGCACGAAGATACCAGCTCCAACAACTACCTCGGTCTTGGAGCCATCTGTGTATGCACAGATATCTTTCCTTATCAGGTTAACTTGCTGTTCCCACTCATTCCTGTGTGGAATTGTAACTGTCACATTTGATAGCATGCGGACCTATTAATTTGTCCATTTATGTCCGCCTGACTTCATATATGAAAACTATATAGGATCTCCAATATATCTGCTTTCAAAAATGGTGGATGCTACTCGAATTTAAGAAGCCGACTTCTAAATGACATTTTATATCGGGATTCATTAATAATTTTCTTTTTTAATTTACTGAAACTTTTCTAGAAACACCTAGATAAAGTCACAACTATGAATATTGTGACATTTGCTCCTTGAGAATATTATTATTAACTAAGCCGTTACAAAAATGTGAAGTCACATTTTCACACTATTTCGTAAAGCAGTGCAATTTAAGGGTTCGGTGCAAAAACCGGTCAATTCAATGTTTTATTATTAGTTCAAAATCGATAGAAGCTTTCCAATATTGTTAGTTGTAGGAATTTTCTATCGAAAAAAATACCAATTTAGTAATGGTATTGGATCATAATTTAATACCAAACTGATAACAAAATATTTTTTTTGTTGATTCTTGCACCAAACGATGTGCAAACATTTGTCCTATACGAGGGGTACCCAAAAAAACCGGAATTATTTTTTAAAAGCTATTTAATTTCAACTTTTTTACAAAGTAACCTTAATACTGGCCACTATAACTAATACACTTGCCCCACCGGTGCTTCCACTGCTCAACACATTTTTTGAAGCCTTTCTTAGAAATGTCAGACAGCTACTCCCTCGTTTTTTTCTAGATGAAAACGTTGACTGCTTTCATGAACATAAGTATGATCCAACAGCTTTTTCTCGTAGTGATGAGAATTTGATGAAACACAAGTCCCTTTTGGGATAAATCGGGTTTGCGAAACAAATGCCTATCTGATAATTGCAAGGCCTCCCTAGGAAATTCTGCTTCTTTGAAATAACTAAAGTATGGCAATGTCAACGTATGATTTATTATACATCTTTGGAATCATAATTAAAAATTCTATTCATCTGTGCAAATATCCAGTATGGTGTCTATAATAAAAGATAAAGTTGTTGCTGGATTACAAGGATGAAATGTTATACTGAAGCTCTAAGTAGAGAGAGAGACGTTAATGTGTAATTTATTTTGAAATAAAGTCATAAAGAATTCGGGTTCTTCCGTCTCTCTCCGGGAGTACTTTGAATTTCGAAACTTTCTAGGCGGAATTTAGTTAATTACCTAAATCCGCCACTTTGCTTCCATTTAAGCGAGTTCGTATTTCTTCAAAAAAAAACACGATTAAATACGTCTGTCTCCAGGACGACTGTAAAAATACCGCACTGATGAGTTGCTAATGAGCACGAAACAGCGCTTTCTGTGTTTGGTCATTGTTGTAGAGACAGGCAGCAAACGTACATTTCAACCTCTTCCTTCGTGACGTAACAAAATTACTCTATACACTGTCAATGTCTTGAGATTATGTGACAGCTCTATACTTCGACAGGTCTCTGTGACTCACTAAGGCTATTTGATAGCCCACTCCATCCGTGTGATATATCCTAAAACACACCTTTGGTCTCTACTCCGGTAACAATGATTTTCTAATAGCACTTCGATAGTACTAAGCTTAGAGTTAGGCAAAAATACTCGCTATATCCAAAAAGGCTTGAGATAAATTGAGACAAAAACGCTTTCATACATGCCCAAAAAGAAAGCAGACTCATAAGTTCGAAATTCGGCTTTAAAATCGAAAAGTTCCCGTTCTATAATTTTATTCGCTGCTGTACGTGCATTTTCATTCTGTCCGTTGTTATTATTATATGATAAGTACGGGTGGGGTGACGAATAGTATAAAATAGGTACCACCGACATCCAGAAGTTCATTTTCTGTCCGAGCTTGGTTCAAATATTTTCAATTCAGTGTACCGGTCAACTTCGCTGGCTGATAAAGGTAAAAGTCTTTTATTTTCGATTCGATATTGACTATCTGTTATAATGGTATTTCTTTAAGAGTATTAGTATTACTGTGCAGTTTTGCCTTTTATTTTGCACACTCAATCTAAAAATACTTGAGAAGTCTTGGATTTAATGTTTCAACACCATATTTCTCGATTTAATCGAAATGCCACATTATATCAAAAATGAATAAATGGTAACTTACTTATTTTCAGTAGTTTTTGAATATTGGTATTCATATTACTGCCCTTCAGGAGTTAGCCTGATTTTTTCCACTTTTTAGCACAAGTTTAACATTCTGAAAGACACATTCACCATTTTGTCCTTGTTATAGTCAATTTTGTGATAATTTTTAATTGTAAAAAAGTATGAAAAATAAAATAATAAGAAATGTCTAGTAGCTCTGATGCATTAATACGAAATATTTGCAATTTGTACAAACAGACAACTTCTCAACCTCTTAAAATGGATTTTGAAGCCTGTAGAATATAAGAAATGAGATTTTAAAAAATCATATTCAAAAATCTTTATTGATATTGATCATGGAAGAAAAAATGGCATGAATTTCCATTTTATGTTTTTTTAAGTTTCTTGTAACCCTTCGTCTTAGTTATCAAGTTCCTTTTTGGGACATTTTTAATATAATCAAACTTAGTTTTCTGACATTTTCAAATTTAGGATGCAGTAACAAAGTATGCGGGGAAAACTTATCAAAAACGCTTATTTTCAATGTTTCTTTACAGGTCATCCCAGCATCAAAAAATTTAAGATGTTCAAAATCTGTATGTGTAATTCATTCAAAAAATACTTTTAGCCTGAGGTCTCATATACCATAAAATCTTTATCAT